CTTTTTGCTGGAAACCACTAGCTCTGTTCCAAGACAAGGGTTTTGTTAAAAGTTTTAATATTGTCTAAAAACAAAATTTTATTTGTATTGGTTCATACTACTGCAAATAACAGATTTTAAAAAAGTAAATGTGTTCAAAATTTGACAGTATTAGATCAGGTTTGATAGATTTATTCATAAGATTGGTAAACCTTTACTGCAAAATGTTTCCATTAAACTGAGATTATACTCCAAAAGGGGGAGAGCAGACTAAAGCCTTTTTTGTTAAATATATAATTCCACGCAACACCCTAAAAGCGATATGCCATCCAGATAAAGCCTGCTCTCTGATCTAAAATGCCAATATTAAACTCCTACATACTTACTTAATTCTACTGTAGTCCAAATCCCAAACAAAAAGGCAAAACTTGACCTTCAAACCTTAGAGAGATCTTAATATGGTTTTTCATATTTTTAACACTTTTGACACTTGGAGTTCTGAGGCAGGTAAACCTACACAAGGTGGAGCTGCCTGCCCCTCCCCCCCAAGGTCCACACTCAAATGCAGCAGAAGACATTGGGCAAGAAAATGCCCCATCCTGGTGTTCTTTGCGACCTTACTCCAGGGCTGCTGGACTGTCCTAGCCATCAGAGAGTGGGTAAGCCATCCTAACTTCTAGCCCTCACAAGAAATGTTGACACTGCCAGATTCAGTACCGACAAAAATTGCTGCCGAAGACTGAGGGGGTTCAGGGCAACAACAGCCCCCTTTAAGATGTCTGTCTCCGAGTCCAAGTTGCACTAAAGTCTCAGGTAAGACAATTCTCTATATTTATGGACATAGAGGCCATATATACAGAGTTCTCCCTGAGTTTTCAGGCTGCTATATTAAGTCCTCAATCTCTATGATGGGGTATTGATGCCATTTACAAACGGGCCTATTTCGTGCAGATCCCAGTCCTAAATCATGCCTTTTATACAGGCTGACTTAGACACACTGAGGCCTCAACAGTTTCCATCTGTTATCACTAGTAAACCTCTCTTCAGTGATATAAGACCACCCCCTTCCTTTCTTATTCACCAATTTCTCAGGTAACCCTAGTCAAGACTGACAGATACATTTTGTCTTCTTACTTTGTTTATACTTTTTCAGAATACATAAAAGCCTTTCTCACAACCAGGGAAGCTGCTGATATACTTGCTAAAGTTCTGTTGCAGCAAATCATTCCAAGGACTACAACCAGGTTACAGTGACCCATACCTGATATTCTTGGTAACCTCAATAGCAATCAAATTTGCTAGACTGCCATTCTGGTTTCACATCACTCAGGCCCTAGATCTGACCGTCCTTTTCCTACTCATCTCTGCCTTACCAAGGCCTCACAGCCATGACTCACAGGTTGTCATATTTTGTTATCCACTTTGGTTCCTAATTTCTTACATTCTATTAATGATCATTTTTACAGCAGGACTCTTGACAGTCTTTCCCAAAGACTCCCACATCATGCATAAGATAATCTTCATAAGTTCTATGTGATGACTGTCATAGTTCTTTCTACCCTCAGCTGTCTGGTTAAGCGTGACATCCCTGAAAGCCTAAGCCCTTACCTTCCCTATACTGGTACAGCCACCGCCTTCCCTACTCCCTCTATTTTTTCCAGTTCAACTCCTGGACACCTACCCTCTTAACTTTTATGCTTTCAGATGGGGTTATTACTCCATAATATGGAGTAATCACCTCTCATAACATCATTTCTCCTAACCTCACACTTAATTTTCAAAATTCCACCTCACCGTGACAATGATCCTACCTCAACGTTATCCTGATATAATGACATGTCTAAAATCAAAGGCACCTTTCCCTCTACCTCACCTGGGTCCTTAAATATGACAGTGCCATGTCTCCTCATAACATCATGTCTCTTTGTTTTTCCAGTCTAACATACGTGCATTCACCAGTAAAGTTGTCCTGGCTAAAACACCTGGCATCAGCATCTACGTGGGCATCAACCGTCACCCCATTGACTCCCCTAGACTCCAGTATAGCGCCCCCTGCCAGCAGGAAGTTATCTTCGCCTCTTTTTATAATAATAACCATAAGACGGGATATGAAAGGGTTTTGGCCCAGACAGGACTCTGTAGCCAGAAAAGCCTCAATCGGAACCAGGAAGCTCCTATGTCCCCCAGCCCCTAGGAATTTACCTGTGACGTCATCTTCCCCGGCCCTGGGAACTTACCTATGGCGCCAAACCTAGGACCTATGGGCTACCTGTGCATCCCTGATGCCCCCTTAGGTTTTACCCCAAACCGAGGCTAATTACATACCCTCAACACCACGTGTCTGCCAGACAGAGAGAGCCGGACTCCAGCAGTCGGGGGTGCTGGTTCTCTCTCTCTGTGTTCTCAGAATAAAGGCCTCTTTTGTTTTATACTTCTCATCTTTTGGAAATAATCCTATAAGTTCCATTCTGTTCTTTACTAGAGTTTCATCAACAAAACAGCCCAGGACCAATTAATTTTCTTCTAATGATATATATAAAATACTAGGTACTTAGGCATGGTGGAAGACATCTGTACTAGCACTTAGGAGGCTGAGACAAGAGGATACCATGAGTTTGAGAGCAGCCTGGGCTACACAGCAAGTTCAAGGCCACTCTGTTTTAAAAGAAAAATCAAAACCAAAACCAAAACAAAACAACAAAAAATACTAGGTAGAATCACTTCCTTGTAAATATAAAAATAGTGAAATCGCCTGGTATAGCAAGTAACAAATTGCTGACTTGCTATTTTTCTATCATTTTTTTCTATTTTGTTTCTTCTGTACTCTAAACTGATATACTTCCATCTGTGAGATTTTTACCTCATAAAATGTCCATTTCTGTCTTCTGATGCTGTCTGGGCTGCCTTTCTTATATTTTACCTCCAAAGTTGATCTTAAACTATTCCATCAGAAAGTCTTAAGGAGAAGGAAAGATATGCCTCTGTTATCTTATATAATTATTCCACTTTGTAATACTGCATAGGAGTCTGAACTTCCATGAAAAGCAAGTATCAATCTGGGGACATGCACACCACATTAGAAAAGTAGGGCTCAATTTTCTATTTTGTTTCTTTGCTCACTTATTGTCTCTGAATTTATGCAGAGATAATGTCTACACCTCACAGTTTGTTGAGTAAATAAAGAAATGGTGCATCATAGCATAATATGGTATTATACATCTATTTCCTGGGATGTTTAAGGTAATGTTCTGGTACAAAATAGATATTTATTAACTATTTATGACCCAATATTTTGACATTGGATCAAAGCCTAGTTTGCCTTCTCTTTTTTTTTTTTTTCTTTTCTATTTTAGGACACTCACTTGCACTAGATTGTTTCCTGAAAAAGAAAGGAAAGGCTGGTTTATTATAATGTTTAATAACTCCAGGTTTATGTGCTTAGCTGTGAGTGTTCATCAAAGTCTGCTTCGTTTTCTAGTAAGCACACATTATTTTCCAGCCACCCTACAGCTGGGTGGCACCATGTGACCATGTACATGAATTCTGGCTGGGAATATGGTAAAAATTACTTCCAGAACTGGGTCCTAACAGTATGAACAATTTAGCCACAGATCTCTCCCCGTATTGCTAGATGGCCTAATGATGAAACTACAGTATTCTAAGGCTATGGGATATGGTGGATCTTCTAGATGAAAGGAGCCTAGTTTGTCCATGAATGCAAGGAACACAGATCTCCACCCATGCTCAGTCAACCCATATCTCACCGTGACTTGTATGAAAAATAAACCTTTATGGAGTTAAGCTACGAAAATACTGATACCCAACTCTAATTAACACATCATATTTAATACTAGTGATAGCATAAATTCAAAGGATCTTTAGACTTAGTTCCAGAAGCTGGGATATAAATCCTGGCTCTATCACTCCATCCCACATATTCCATGATCGGTGCCTACAATACAGTCTATGCTTTTTTCCAACTGTTTCTATAGCTCAGTCACTTCCTTCATTATAGAGCCCACCCTTCTACCTCACAATTTCTGTAATAATTTCTCTGACATTCCTCTGTTCCTCTCTGCTCCAAGTGCAGAGCATATTCTTCTGTTTTAATATCTATTACATTTTATTGAAAGTATTTGATGACACGTGCTTCCAGAACTCTTTGATTCCCACCAGTTATTTACAATGTCTACCATATAGGAGACAATACTATACTAAAAGAATGATTGTCACATAAAACCTTAAGTGAGCAATCTTTAAGACTATATTTCACAGAACTATTGGGATGATGAAATAATGAATGTGATTTATCAGTTATAAACAGATTTGAAGTTATGTGTTTATTCTGTTTTCGAGGCCCTTCTCATCTTTTCCAGTCAAATCCACCCTAGTGCTTCATGGAAGAATTGTGCAGTGGGATTTTCAGGCAAGCCACATTTGTAATTTAGAAACTTACAGCAGACACATTAACAAAGCTAAAAATAGGTGAAATTAAGTTCAATAGCATATTTAACCCAAGGTATTCCAGATATTATTCATGGGTTATTTCACATTTTTTTTAAAAATCAAGTCTTCTAAACCTAGCATGCACACTTACATCTCAAGTCACACCAGCCTCATTTCAAGAACTCAGATGCTACGCGCGTCTGGTGAACAACGCAGTCACAGGCCGACTGCACACTGGGTGAAGTCTAAAAGCAGTAACCCCATTTAGAATTAAGGACTCCTCAGCGCTCTCTCGGACCCTTCATCCTGAGGAGCGTGAAACCTACAGGGTCAGCTCCTTGAGGAATTCCAGACTTGTCTTGAAAATTCGGTCTCACAGTCACGATCCGTGGCTACTAAATTCGAGGTAATTGATAAAGCCATGTGTGGAGGACCCCATGGGAGGCCCGGTGGCCAAGATGGAAAACGATCTACTGGGGAAAAGCTCAGCGAGCGCCGCGCGAGGCCGCCACCCTGCTGATCCGCGGCAGGTGCGGGAGAGTCCGGGCGCAGCCAGCTCCGTCCGGGCGCCGAGGCCCCGCCCCGGAAGTGGGCGGGGACGTCCTCTGCCCGCCCGGCCCTCGCCCTCACTGGCTGGGCGGCCGCGGCTCTGAGACGCCAGCTGGCGGCGGAGGGGAGGGGCAGGCGGTGCCCTGGAGGGAGGCACCGGGCCGTGCGGGCCAGGCCGACCCGGGGTAAGTGGGGCCGGGGCGGAGGGTGCCACGCTGGAGGGGGAGACGCCTGGCTTACGGGGGCGGGTGGGGAGGCTCGGCCACCCACGGGAGCGGCAGGAGAGACGCTGCGGCCTCCCGTGGCTGCTTTTCCCTGGGGCCCCAGTGACATTCTGTGCCCGCCCCTCGCCCTGTCCCCCAGTTCCCCTCGGTGCTGTCAGGCCCCGCGGGCTTGCCCCGCTGTCACTCGCACGCTGTCACCCCGCCGCCGCACCCTTTCTCTTCACTTGCTCAAGCCCAGCTCGCGGGAAACCTGTTTTCTGACCTCACTTTCCCCATCCAGTTCTGCCTTGCTCGGATTCTCTGAAACCTGACCCCTTCCTGGGGCACAGCGTCAAGAAGGAGGGAAGAAGCAACCTTACTCCTCAGCAAGCTCCTGTCCCGCCTGTGCCCCCGCCCGCGACGGGAGCCAGGATTCTCTGACAGCCGGCGACTTATCCCTGTGCCCTTGGGCCACTCTAGATACCACCGCCCTGTTTGCTGTCCAGCAGCACTAGCTGCAAAAACTTCTCTCTGCAGATGCCTTGCCACCCAGATATGTGAGGAAATAAGGGAACTAGAGCCCCAGAACAAAAACTCCGTGTAGGCATGGGATCATCCTGGAATCGCAGAAACCGGGTTAGGGCTGCCCCTAACAGTCCTGCTTGTTCCATAAACATCTTAGGAAATACAGGGTACCCACTCCTTCCTTTGCTGAGACTTTTGCCAGCTCCTCTCCAAGTTTTCTGTCAGGAGTCTGAAGAGACTCAGCTGGCTCAGTGGGCTGAGCAGAAAGAGAATTCCTATTGAGGGATCTTCTACTGGAGGAGCTGGAGAAATAGGCTTGAGAAACATGTCCAGACACTTCGATAGAAGTAAAGCCTTGGGGGTGGATTTGCAAAGGAGCTAAAAAACAGGGAAAAGTTAGGAAATTGGTGTCTTATATGTAAAAAGTAGAGAGAATGCAGGGACTGGAATTCAGAATACAAGCCTCAAATGGAAGTTCCCTTTTGTTGCTTTCTTGAGAATTTTCCTTCCTCCTGAAAAATCTGCAAAAAGAAAACCTTAGCTGGAAATCACTCCAGAATGCTCCCATGAGACCCTGGGTCATCTTTGGACCTCTGAGATGAAAGAGGGAATTTGTTCTTCCTATGCATTGGACTTAAGGTTCCTATTCACTTCTTTTATTGAAGAAAAATAGATAACAATGGCTGTGTTAACATCTGTCATTACTTATCCTGTCTTTTGGATTCTTGAAAACATTATTGAGTGGGAATATTTGAACTAGGACTTTTATTAAGGTTCTCACCTGTTCTTGGAAACTTTTTACAGGCTCTTTCACTTAGTGAATAAGAATCACAAGGCAGAAAGGATTCTGCAGTCTTAAAACTGACTATTTCTTGACTGGGATTTATCCTGTTCTTAAATTATCTGAAGCAAAGAAGGGCCCACAGCCTGGTCTTCTTGTTCACTGTAGTATTACTCAGAGTTTTTAAAATCTAACCTGAATCTGTTCTCTTACAGTCACAACCCACTCCTTAATCTATATAGAGATAGAGCACACCTCTCTTTTTGTTCATTGGTATTTCCTTTCATCATCAACCTTTTATTTCATTACTGGGGGATTGAACCCAGGGCCTTTGCACTGAACTAGACTCCTAGCCCTATTTATTTATTTTTGAAACAGAGTCTTGTTAAATCACTAAATTGTCCAGTTTGAGCCTTAATTTGAAATTTTCCTGCTATAGTCTCCCAGAGTGCTAGGATTATAGGTATGTCCTTCCATACCTGGCCTTATCCCTTTCTTGACCTTAATTTTTTCTGATGAACACACATTGGCTTCTCTATACCCTTCTTCAAAATTGGATATATTTTTCTATTGATCTAGAACTAGTGTATGCCAAACAAATAGGTTCATTATTGTGTTTCAAATCACAGGGTTATCATTTCACCTTAGGTTCATGTTAGCAGCCCCAATCCAAATTTGTTCCATTGTTTTTTACTTTTCTCAATGAAGCTTCAGCTTCTCACTAACAATTTCTCTTATTTTTTAGGGTTTTATCAGTCTTACACTTGCTTTGGTCTGTCATATTTACTACATGAAAGTAATTGATCATGTGTCTCTTTGTTGACTTACCCTAAGTGAAACACCATTTGGTTCAGTCTCATAGAGGTGTGTTTTTATGATGCATGTATACCCCTCGACTGGGATTTTTACCTTGGGAATCATGTCATTCTCAACTTATTGGTGAGAAATACTTTAGTTACTTTTTTCTTGTTGCTGAGTTAAAATATTCAACATTCAAGGTTAAGGGGGGGGAAGGTTTATTTAGCTCATAGTTTGTAAAGGTTTTAGTCCATCATCAGTTGGCTTTGAGGTAGGGCAGCTTGTCAGAAAACAGTCATGGCAGGCAGAAAGTAGCAAAGCAACAAGTAGAGCAACACAGGAGTCTTTCTGTCTCTCATATGTTGTAACTAGACTGCTGCAGTAAGGGTGGTGCCAAGCCAATCAGTGGGCTGATTAAGCAGTGATACATCCTTAATTCCAGCATCGCACACTCTAGATTCAGCCACCTAGACTGCATGAGGCTTTGAGGGGACATCTAGACACAAACCCTAACCAGGATGTAATTTCTGGCAGAAAATCTTAGATGTGATTATATCCATCTTAGTTGATGGACTGTACGTCTATGTATGTTCCTTCCTACATGTTTCCAGATTGCTTATGCTCCTTTACTTTTAGTAGTTAAAATAAACTAGATAGTTTATGAATTTCCAAAATTGTTCTTTTTTTTACATGGTATTCTTCTAGCCCTCAGGGATATTCTGTTGATACTATGAGGTCCCCCAAATAACAATGGCATTGTTATGTAACACATGCCAATTTCTTACCTCCTCCAAAAAGCTTGACTCAGGCTCAGTTAATTGGAAAACATTATTAAATTTTGTTTTATATTAACCTCCTCTTTCCCAGTTTCATCATTAACCCCTGAGGATTCTCTCCATAACTCCATTAGGAGCATAACCTCATTCTATATTCATAGACATAGCTGATACTGATTTTTTCCAGGTCACGAATTGGACTTCCAGAAAAAAATGCTCTCAAAACAGACAACTTCCCTGGGGACAGGATGGGAATCAATGAATATACAACTGGATGGGACAGAGCCTCAGGTGGAAAGGGGAAGCCAAGAGGAAGGGCCATGGAGAGCAGCACCAGGGCCGGGACCACTGGAACACCTATGCTGTGGCCTTGAAGAGGAGCCACAGTCTCTTCAGAAGGGTGAGAAACAACAGAGTGTGTGGGAAGCAGAATATGTAGGGTAGTTGCCTTATTTCTGTTCGAAAAATAGAGTTAAAATTCCCACATTGTCATGGACTGAACAGCACACCCAATGCCAGGACCAACCCAGTCGTTCTTCCTTAACCCTGCTCTCAATACGAAATGAGTTTTGGATTCTCTGAGCCATCTAACTGCTTCTTTTGTTTTTGCATAATCTCTCCCACTTAGTGCAAGTGTTTAATTAGTGATTAGTGAATGTGGGAGATGAAGGAAGTGATAGTGACACTGACTACTGCTGGAGAATATACCCTGTATGGTGCACTTTACTAGTGAAAATAACTTTCAAGCAATATATTAATTCAAGCCACAGCTAATCTAACTAAAACCCACCCAATATCCTTATAGAACATTTCAAGTGAAGGACTCTTCACTTACATTTATGCATTTGAATACCAGTGGGCACAGATACAGGCAAACATGAGACCCTTAAGCTCCTTTAAGATGGGCCCAGGTGCTTGCCGAAAGAGTGGAAAAGTCCATCTCTAATGGTTCCTCTCTCCCCTCACCAGCTCAGTCTGCTCCCTGGGTTCCTGCAATTCCCCAGGAGGGGAGCACCGGAGACTGGGAGATGGCAGCTGCACTTCTTGCAGCCGGATCACAGGTGGGCTGTGCTTCCCTTGGCCTCTCCCAAGGTCTCATCACAGTTGCCTTTTTGTAGCTTTGGCATCATCCCATTGATTTGTTAGTTCACATGAACACCAATGGTATGTTCATCTTAGAACCGAACAAATTCTACTCTTTTCCAAGAGGCCCATAAGACCTTTGGAAAACTCATAACCAAATAATCGAATTTTCTGAGGTGAAGGGTTTTTAAAGGATAGCTGTAATATATCAGGGGGATTAAAAATAGGTCTAGATTTAGAAGGCATTATAAAAGCCATTGAAAGATAATAATAGCGGTGGTAGCAGCTACCCTCCCTTATCACGTGAGCTGTTTTTCAAGTGCTCTATGTCTATTAACTTAATTCTGGAAACAATCAAACATCCTATTTTACAAGTAAAAAAAAAATGTGGAACATTTTGAGATTAAAGCATTTGTATAAGATTATATTGATAGTATGTGGCAAAACTAAGAGTTATTTGGCTCCAAATTTCAACCTGTGCTGCCTGCAACAATAAAAATGTAGTATGGCAGGAGAGGCAAGAAAGGACATCTTATATATAATATACAACATTTATTGAAAGAAAAGGAAAAGTCAAGTAGAGGTGCAGAATCTCTGCAATAAAAAGAGTAAGGCAAGTGAGAAGAAACTGATGAATTTGTGGCATATCCATCTTCTCATAATCCCACCAGGGAAATTCCTGTTACATTATCCACACTCACTTCTTGAACATCTACCTTTTTCCTTCTTTTCACTTTCCCTTTACCAAAACGTTGTCTCCTACCCAGGATGTCTGGGCAACTCTTTTCCTAGATCCTCTCTTGCCTTCTCTGCTCTACAACTACTACTACTACAGCCTTTTATATCTTTTATGCAAAGAACACATTTTCCTTGAGGAGCAACTGCTGACCAATGATGATTCTATATTTTGTTTCAGGGCTTGGTAACTATCAAGGATGTATCACTATCCTTCTCTCAGGAAGAGTGGCGGAGTCTGGACCCCTCTCAGACCGATTTTTATGGAGAATATGTCATGCAAGAAAACTGTGGAATTGTGGTCTCTCTGAGTAAGTACTGTATGATTTTTGTAGCTATTAAAAGATTGTACCCTGGGGAGATGAAGTCATCTACTTCAAGGATGTTGAGTAGTGTATGTCTCAGACTCTTTGTTTGGCAGGAATGTGTCTAAGGTTTCACCGAAGACAAAGACACTAGACCTAATCCCAAGAGAGTGAAGAATTAAGAAGCATTTTAAGAAGACAAATAGCAAATATTAGTGTTTCAGGAGCAAATAAATTGTTTGCTCTTCTTAGTTGGGAAATCCTTCCAAAGCAGAAAGAGGGACATCTGGAACTGGGCCCTTGAACATTTGGGAACCATCTAATGGAAAATGAGAGTGTAGAGTATGGGACCAGAGTTATATGACCAAAAGGAGAGTTGAGCTGGAAGGAGTTGATGGAAGGAGTGATAGAGGAGAGTTGGGTTGGGAGGAGTTGATGCAGGACAGACTCATAGGGAAAGAGTGTGATACTCTAGGCCAGTGAAGAACTTTACATAAATGGCCGAGTGTGGGAGAAGAGACACGAGTATGGCCTTATTTTACCTAGAGTCCCAAGGAATAATCTAGGAAATGGATTTTTACATAAAATAGACTTACTGTCAAACTAACTGTTACCTCTGTTTTCCTTTCCTATGACAGGATTTCCAATTCCCAAACTGGATATGCTTCCTCAACCAGAAGGAGGAGAAGAACAATGGGTTCCCAATCCCCAGGACTTAGAGGAGAGAGACATTCTGAGGATCACATATACGGGTGAGAACCTAGGCTGGAGTTTTAGCCCCTGTCGTGTCCATTCATAAGGTGTTACTATTACATGTCCCTCTAATGTAAAAGTTTAGTTTTTGTTTTCTTCAAAAGCAAGGCAGATCGTAGAAGGATTGTTTAGAGTTCAGGCTCTGGAGATAAATTTTGTGAATTCAAATGTAAGAGTCATGCTTATGAGACCTCAAAAGAATCATTAACTCCTTTTTGGTTTCCTTTTCTGTAAGTTATTGTGAGAATTAAATATATTAACATCTTAGAAAGTGGAACAGTGTTAAGCATTCAATAAATGTTATTATTGTTATAATTCAACTTCCCCCTCACTTTTCAAATACTTTTCAAAATGCCTTTACTGTTGTTGACAGGTGGTCATCCAGCCAGTGATCATTAAAGCACGTTCCTCCACTCTCTCCATCTATGCTTAAGTGGGAAGGAAGTGATTAGAAATAATAAATAGTAGTAAATAGGTAATGTGAATAAATAACAATAGTATATGTGATTTATTAAGTAAATATGTGTAGATATTGTGGTATTACAGAGAGACAGAAGAAACAGAGAGAGGCAGAGGTATTATTACTGTTTTGAAATATACGGAGATTTAAAGAAGTTCAGTGCAATACCTGAGATTAAAACTTGCCTAACTGCCTCCTGAGCCTGAGCCTTAAGAAAACTTCAATGCCTCTTACAACTATGCCTCTTACAACTGTCTTGTAAATTAGATATGTTCTCTGAGCTTTTCTAGGGTGAGGTGTGGTGTCATATGACCTTATCAGTAACTTGGGTCCTGAGGTACTCTGGGGTAACTCCCTTTTTGGGGTTTTCCCTTCGCCACAGGAGATGGAAGTGAACAAGAGGGGGACACCCCTGACCTAGAAGCAGAACCTCCCAGAATCCTATCAAGTGTGTCTGAAGATACTGTTCTCTGGAACCCGGAGCAGGATGAAAACTGGGATTCCACACCCAGGAGCTCCAGAGGAATGCCCCTGGGCCCACCTTTCCTTCAGGAAGACAGCTTCTCAAACCTTCTGTCTAGTACAGAGATGGATTCTCTGTTAAGACCCCATACATGCCCCCAGTGTGGGAAACAGTTTGTGTGGGGCTCCCACCTTGCCAGGCATCAGCAAACACATACTGGAGAGAGGCCGTACAGCTGCCTCAAATGTGAGAAAAGTTTTGGGCGAAGACATCACCTAATCAGGCACCAGAAAACCCACCTACATGACAAACCCAGTAGGTGCTCTGAGTGTGGCAAGAATTTCCGATGCAACTCCCATTTGGCCAGCCACCAGAGAGTACACACAGAAGGCAAATCCTGCAAGGTCCAAGGGATGGAAGAGAATGCTGGAGCTAGGAAGCAGCAGCATGCGTTGCCAGTGCCAAAGTGCCATGTGTGCACTGAATGTGGGAAAAGCTTTGGCCGAAGGCACCACCTGGTGAGACACTGGCTGACTCACACTGGGGAGAAGCCCTTCCAGTGCCCTCGCTGTGAGAAGAGCTTTGGCCGCAAACATCATCTGGACAGGCATCTGCTGACCCACCAGGGACAAAATCTCCGAAGCAGCTGGGACAGAGGGACATCTGTCTTTTGAATATGTTTCTGCTACAACTATGATCAAGTTTATCAACTGGTGCTACCAGTAGTCACTGCCAGAGTTGCCCCTCTCCTTGCACCCCAGTGGCCAGAATAGTGAACCCTGGTCCTGTCCCTAGAGAGATGAGGTTCCGGTGTTGGCAAGAGCATTACTCAGCAGTTGTGTGAGATAACATATAAACAATGTTTTTTGGGCACAGTTTTGAGAAACAGTGTATGTTACATGGGCTGATATTCAGCCTGAGCCATTTGCAAGGATATGATGCTATTAGTAGTTATAGCTGAGGTTCTAATTGGTTGGGAGTCTATGCCACATGCATTTTTAAATCTTTTAGTATCATTCTCTCTAATTATATTCTTTCTGTGTATGTGTATAGAGAGAAAGACCATTTTAACATTTTAAAGCCTCTGAAAACTTCTGCTGCAATGTTTTCTAATTTTATTTGACCTCAGCATCCTATTTTACATCCCACAGAGCTGGTGGTTCCTTGAAACACACTCTGATGAACACTGAGTTACAAAGTAATGAAGAAACAGTAAAGAGACAGTGAGCAAGCACTCGGTGTCCCCCATTATATTCCTATGAAAACCAGGGGTCAGATGTCATCATTTGTGTGTGAGTCTAGCATCTTATCATCTATATATACGGCTACACTCTCACCTCTACCTGCTGAAAATATAAAGAATGACCTTTCATTACCCATTACCACCCCACCATTCTGCACATACTTATATCCAGCTAAAAGATTATGCTACAATGCTAAAATGAACCTATACCCTCAAATAATCCAGCCCTACACAGAAGAAAACACTATCCTTTTGGTCAGAGCCCATCCTCTTGGTTGTGCTATGTGTATTTGTGTATATGTGTGCAGGATCCTTGAAGAAAGCATGCTAAGTGCAAATTGTACATGCTAGATTTTCTAGGGGCTATGTTCTGGTAGTGGGGCTGTATGGGATTTTTGTTTGTTTCATCATGGGAAGAAATCTAAGTGATGAAGGAACCCTGAGTGGAAAGGGTTCAGTGACATGTTAAATTGTGTATAAAGTTCTTCCCAGTATCAGTGAGATCAAGACATTTGAGATTTATATATCTATATTGGAACCTCTGGTTGCAGATTGTTTTCACCTGGGAAGACAGAGAGAGATCTTCATTGCAGTGACTGTTTCTTGTTGATTTCAGGCAAGGTGCATATATATATATATATATAAGGTTTGTGAGTAGGAGTTGTTGTGTCGTGTTGTCCTAAGTGCTGGAAAATTAGCAAGGAAATTATAGTGTTTGCGAGTTGTTGTTCTTGTCACACTTATTTGATCAACTCATCAAGGGAGAACTTATTCTCAAAGATCTCATTCTCCCAGATCTGAACTTTGGGGATAAAGCCTGCTTAGATCCTCAGCAAGTTGGTTTTCCTCTAAATCCTGGGAAAGTGTCCATGCTAAAAAACTTTTCGGTATCTACAGAAAGACTCATATAAGAATTCTAATATATGTTTATGAATTGGTCATTGTTTCTCTGTATTAATGATGGTGGTAATGCCAACATTATAATTTCAAAATTATCTTGAATGGATAAGCAGTTTGGAGTTTGAGAAGAAGTGAAGCACAGGGGAGAAAAGTGGGATATTTTCACTTTAATGCTTAGATCCTGTTTTTCTAAAACTTTCTATCCTATTTTCTAAAGTATTTATTTCTCAATCCTAGTTGGTAGAATTAACCAAAGAGGCAAGAGGAAGTGAGCTGCAACAACCTAGTTTAGTGATTGTTCCATCTACTCTGAAAAAACTGGGTGAGTCACAGCTCCTTAGGGTCCTGGGCTCAAAGGAAATTGAAGATAGGGCTTAAGACTATGTGACTTGAGTAGGCCTATCTCCCTTCTGTTATGGCGAGCAAACTTCCTTCTTTGTCTGGAATGTAATTCTCTTGCTTATGTTTCTACAAACAAAGCAAAATGGCCAGCCCTTTGTGGGTAGGCCCTATTAGTCCTCAGAGATGGCAGCATTTGAGGGCCAATATTAGAAAATGCCTAAGAAAAATAGGAAAATACCAGGCTTTGTTGTTAAAACTGGACTGTGGCATTTCTTTTACCTTACTGCTTTAATACAGATTTTAAAAGCAAATCAGCTCTGTGGTGGAACATGTTTTGGATTGCCATACCTGTTTGAGAAGCTGATGGGAACCACAAAACCATGGTTGACTAAATAGGCATTTTCAGTTCAAATCAGTAAACTGGGGTCAATGTGGTTATATATATATATATATATTTGTATCAAGAATTACATAGTAGGGGCTGGGGATTTAGCTCAGTGGCTTAAGTGCACTTGCCTGGTAAGTGCAAGGGCATGAGTTTGATCCCCTGTATAAAAAAAAAATTACAAGGCAAGGGTCATTATTTTAAAGACTAATATCTAAGAGGCATCAGGATATGAAGATACAATCTGGTCTTTAATGACTAGAAGGATGCTGCTTATATTTTATGTTTTAAAGATCTGATATGCTGGCAAATCCATTTAATATACTTTGTTTTAAGAATATGTAGGGAATGATATCCCTTATTGTCAGGTACTCTTAATGACTATCTGGTAATTTCCAAATTTTTATCTGTGTTAGTAATTGTAGAGATAGAAAGCGAACCCTCCTAAATTGAAGTGCAGTTTATAGCACCCAGCTAAAAGGCATCATGAACCCTAAGGGCCTTCTGTAGAGGGGGCAATCCTTTGGGTCATTTCTGGTGTACCATTGTCTCCTCTACCTCAGTCCAAAACTACATCCTTTGGACAGTAAATAAAAAATACATAAAACTGCTATCAGATGAGTGAATAGATTTGAGTCAGCCTCAAACTTCATCTTCCATCAAACTCTCTCATGCCACATGGCCACTTATTTCCTTTCAATAAAAAAAAATCTGTGTTCTCTCTGGTCAAAGTTTAAAACAAAATTCCATCTTTAAGACCTATCACAATTTTCCATCTGTGGTGCTGCTACTCTCTTCAATCCCTTGCTTTCCCTGAGGATAGCTACATTTTAAACCTTAGCTTCAGTTTTGGAAAGAACTACTTTTGCTTGTTAAATGTTATGCTATCATTGTTTCCTATTTCCATCAAAGATAAGATAAAACTTAATTCAGACCCAGAGAAGTGAGGGACAGGTTGCTTCCAGCACTGAGTGAGGGTGAGCAGGGTTGAGCAATAACAGCAAAGTAAAATCTGTTCCTTTAGATCCCTTAGCCTGAGCTGGCAAAATTTTCCTCTCTTCCTTTGTGTAATGCCAGACCATGGTTCTCAAAATGTGATTTTGGATCAGCAGCAAATTCTCAGACCCCACTTCAGACTTTCTGAATCAGAAACTCTGGAAGTAGAGCCCAACAACCTGCCTTTTAACTGCCTGTCAGTATATTATAGAAGCTAAAGTTTGAGAACCACTGCTAGGGAATTCAAACTCCATTTCAAGCAGTGATACCTCACCCTCCTCAAATGAATGTTCACAGTCCTGTTGTCATCTTAAGTGCACTAGGCCTGCTCCCCTTAGTTCTAAAGTCTTCCCTCATCCTTAACTCAGTGAAAGAACTGCATCCCTTCACAAATTTCACAAACTGTGGTGAGTTACTACTAAGCTCCAATGATTGATTCAAGCAGGCACTTTGAATATGAACATTCGAAACACTTGGATCCAGAAATCTGAAACAACAGAAAGAAAAGGATAGTCCAAAAGATAGCTCAATTTAAACTTTAAAAATTGCCTGCAAGAAAATCATCTTCCTTTATTAGTTATCTGGTCCTTTCTCCAGGGCTTGTAATAAATTTCCCTAGAGCCAGATGGGGAGAGCATTCAGCTGAAAAATTGACACTAAGTCTTATTATGCTGAACCTGTAAGGGCCAAGGTTTTCCAGCCTCAAAGTTGAATTAGCAACCAATAAGGGGCAATGCAAAGAATTTCTAACCCTGGTTTGGTGTACCCCATAGGCTAGTACCAGGACCATCAGAGTGTATCCAGGGTACAAGTAGGAAATAAGCTTGTCTAGTGAGATATGACACAAGCAAAATTCAAATCTGGACTATTTTTTAGGTAGAGGTAACCAGTTACACTGTGGTTCCCAAAAAAAAAACAAAACAAAAAACCAGTATTCCTGCCTGAGAACTTCTATGCATTTCAGGTTGTAGAAAAGGATCCATTGGATAAGGCATGGAAGATGTATGGCTTCCAGGAGGAGAAAAGGCAATGCCTCCCGTGAGCCCACCAGCCTACCGGCATGCAGACTGAAAATCAACACCCTCCCTCCTAAGCAACACACTGGTTCAGAGGACAGGCTGAGTTGATAGCAATTAAGAAACATAAAGCAACTAAACATTTTTATTGTTTGGTTAATTTTCAGCATCTCTTGGAAGGATGACAGTATGCAATATAGTAAATATGAGGAATTTCCTATCTTATCTTTGAAATCCAATATTCTCATTGCTTTGCTTTGTTCTGATTGTTTTGCTTTATTCAATATTCTGTTTTGATTGGTTTTATTCTGTTTTGTTTTTGGTTTGATTTTGCTATACCTGATGGAATGGACAACTATTGTGAAGATAACAAAGTACACTATGGTAGCTATTGTTTTCCTAGTATCTTGCTTTGAAGTTCTGTACTAATTTTGCTGCTTTGTTTTGATTGGCTTTGTTCCATTTTGCTTTATTAGATTTTACTGTCTTCAAATAAAAAAAAATTTTTTTTAAAGAAAAGGATCTGTCTTATAGGTCCCAGCCCTGCTACCTCCTCCAAGTCCTATCTTAGACATACCTGTGAGGACACACAGAACTAACCATTGAAAGCCTACCATCAAAGGCTAGGCAAATCTGCAGCCTTCCTTAACTCCAGGTTTCAGGTTAATTTCCTGTCACCACCCATATTCTTCCAGTGGGCAACATTCTTCCTCCAGTCTTCTCATTTTTCTCAGTCTTTTTGGTTTGGTTTATATTCTATTTTGCCTGAGCAATGCAATCCCTACCCAGGGGCATTTGTTCTTCCCAACTCCCACATATTCTTAATTGTAGAAATAATAGATTCTAAATCCAAGCTTCTGGCTGTTTCCTGTCCATCAAAAGTGAGGGGTTTTGTAATCTATATAGGAATCCAAGCAGCCAAATTGACAAATTTTGGGATTTTATTAGCTAAGCTTAGTCACCACCCACATAGACCCCTGTTTCAGAGTCAAACTGAGTGACCCTGAACGGGAGGCTTACAGAGTTTTTAAAACAGAAAACTGCAAAGCAAGACATCTTGTTGGGAAAAATTCAGCTAGAACCTTATGTTAATTTTGGCTAACACGTGTATCCTGCTTTTTTGTTGAACAGATTAATTTTTTTCTTGTGGGTGCTCACGGGACTTGCACCCTGAGTAATTTTTCACTCTTCTAGGTCAAATACAAGACACAAGTCAAATACAGGATACAAGATGGCATCAGTTATGCCAAGCTACAACAGTAAGTACACTCACTACCTATCCCTCTGCCTACTACCCTGTTTCTTTTCTAACAGGTTTAAGCCCACTAAGCAGGAGTCAATTCTTCATGCTTCCCACTCCTTTCTCCCAAATTCCAGGCCATGGCAACTCTGCTTCCACTTCATTGCGTTCTCTCTCTGTCTCTCTCTCTCTGTGTCTGTCTCTCTCTCTCTGTGTCTGTCTCTCTCTCTCTCTCTCTCTCTTTCTCTCTCTCGTCACACACTTCCCCATCCTACCAACACACACCCAGTACCACCTTCTGCCCAGTTCTGCCAGATCTAGGCCCGTTTCCTAAGGAACCTTCTTCCCCCATGTAGTTTCCTAAGTCACTTTGTATATCTAATCACTTTAATGTACTGCCTGTCTTCTGTAGATTCCAGGAATCAAATTTTCTTTCTCAAATCTACAGTGTTTTTTGATGCTTACTATTTGACAGGCACTGATAGTTCTGTTGCCAGGTGGCATAGTGTCAGATGATTTCAGGATTTTTACCCTATCCAAATAACTGGCCAGGAAAACTAATAAGCAGTTTTATTTAAAGAATGAAAAGGAAAGAATGAAGAGCAGGAAGAGATATGTCCCTGAAGCAGGATAGACCACTTAGAAACAGGAAGAGAGCAAAACAGGAAGATTGCAGTGGTGACTTTTACACCTTCCAGTCCATGGGAAATTGTTCTGCCCGTATATTCTAGTCCTGATTGGCAGGTCATATTCTGATGTTTAGCCTCTTTTCTGGATCTTTGTAATTGACAGATTATATGTTGTTTTTCATCCAGCCTGCCGTGCTCTAATCCGTTGCCTCATTTGCAGATCTGAGAGATGAAGTATGACCATGTCCTCATCCTTAGCATGTGCTGCACAGAAGCATCCACCTTCTCTGCTTTCCTGCCAAGCATCAAGCCACTGTGACTGTGTGCCCACTTACAGAAGTTTTTGGCCAGGCTCACCTGCCATGCAACCCAGCTTTCCCTCTGACAAACTGAATATTTTAGGATTATCCGATGTTGGCATTAGTCTGTATTCATTTAGACCTGTATGTTATGTATCTCTTGAATAGAGAAGTTGTGATGGTTTATACCCTTGGTTCTCTCCTCTACTTTTACTACCATTCCCCACTCTTCTCTCCAGGCGAAAGACTGCAACCGTAGCGGATGGTAGTCATGGTGGGTAGGTAAGTCCATATGTCTCATGTGAGCTTCCCCCTCAAAAAAATATAAGGCTCTGGAAATGCAAAATTTGACTCTGTCATGTAAGACAAAGAAGTTAACAAGATTTGATAAATAGAAAGTACAGAATGAAGACTGTGATTCAGATAAGGAAGAAAACAGTAATGTAAATAAATATTTGAGTAGTCAGAATACTACAAAATGGTCATGTGTACGTGAATGATCCAACCTTAGAACTAGATCAGAAAATGTTAACTTTTTGCCAGGAGTTAAACATTAGACAAATGGAAACACTGGGATTCAACATTGGAAATTGTAAAGCACCATATGCTACAAGATGTTTTTTAAGTATACTAGTAATGAAATACAAATAAAATACTCAATATACATCAATAGCAATACTCAAATATATATTTAGCATGACTTCTCACTATCTGAACTAAAAGCATTCATAACAAGAATTTATCATTCCAAAAGTTAGAGTCTAAAGAATTTATGCAGAAGTGACAGATGTGGTGTAGCATGAGATTTTAGAACAATAATCACATTCAATAGATTTAGTTTTCTTCAAAATTGCCTACATTTTGATGACAAAAAGAACCATCAAGAAACGAAATCTGACAACGTGGCTGCTATTTGCCCATTTTTTAAAGCTTTGTTTTGCATTGTTAAGTGATTTATACACTGTCTGAATACACGACAATTGATGAATAACTTGCAGCATTTCATGTGTGTTGAAGCTTCTATGATATATGCCAAGTAAATGTCCCAAATATAGTATAAAAATGTATGCCATGGTAGATGTTAAGGTGCTTTACATCTTGTGCCATGTCCAGCACAGCTCTTGAAACTCTGGAGGGAGGATGCTGGAGGATGAAAAAAAAAAAATGCAGAAATTTGAGGTCAAGTGGAGCCTCCTCTCCTGGTGGGGAAAAAATAATTATCAATTACTACAGTGCATTTATTCATACATTCAGAAGGTAATTGTCACTTGAAACCCCTCTGCCTAGCAACTTTTTTCCTTGGTTCACCTTGGGTGCCTTGGGTTCTCAGAGCTGGACAGTTGTTCATGTCTCTCACATCAGGTGCTCTGTGTTTCAGGGTTGGCTTTGCTTTAGCCTTGCCTATGTGATCAATCTCCAGATCCAACCACTCCCCCACATTCCCTGCATTTCTGTTTTGTAGTTGCAAGCAATGGGTGGTCAGTTGAAGTTGGAGGAGCTATGTTTGAAGGATTCTGCATAAGATCTTTTCATTCTTGAATGCTTTTCATTCTGTGAGAACTTATGTAAGTTTAAGATTTCCCATCCAGGGATTTGGGGACCCTGCATTCAGCAATTTAATCCTGTATAGTCTCTCTACCCTGGTCCATGATTGGTGCTGATTCATGCTTTAGAAAAAAATAAATTTAAAGTCAAAACCATTTGTGGACCATGGGTAGAGAGAACAAGGCCACACGAGGAAGCAAGCCCAGTCTGGAAAACCAGCGCCATGCACTGGCCGCCACCAGACTAGAATAGCCAGACCCCAGACTCTCCCTGTGAGTCAGCAGCATTTGTGGACTGGGGTTAAAGAGAAGGAAGGCCACACTGGGAAGCAAGCCCAATCTGAGAATCAGTGCCATGCGCAGGCTGCCAGCAGACTAGAACAGTCAGACCCCAGCCTCTCCCCATAAGTCAGCATCATTCACAGACCCGGGGTAGAGAGAGGAAGGCCAGGAAGCAAGCCCACTCAGAACCAGCACCATGCACAGGACACCACCAGACTGGAATAGCCAGATCACAGCCTCTCGCTATGAGTCAATGCCATTCATGGGATTGAGAGAAGAAGGCCACACCACAAATCAAGCCCAGTCTGGGAACCAGTGCAACGTGTGGGCTGCCACTGGACTGGAACAGCAGACCCCAGCCTCTTCCATCATGCTGGCTAGCAAGTAAGAAGTACCAACCCCTTCCCCATAAGTTACTGATCTATGTGGAGAAACACAGGCTGTGATTATAGCTATGGAGGTGAAATGCAATTTGGATGCCTGTGGTGCCTTAGTGTTTCACTAATATTGCAGATCGAGGGTCAGTGGTCTGATCATAGGCTCAGAGGATAGTGTTGCACAGTGTGACATCTAGAGGGCATCTCCTTTTGAGGGTTGCACCCACCGTTGATTCCCTATGGTCTTGTTTTGGAAGTCCTATATTGTTTCTATTGTTTTGTTGGGTTGGGTTTTATTTTTTGCTTTTGTTTGATTATGTCAAATATGATGGTGGCAGCAGCAATTTCAAAGATAGCAAGATATATTATGGTAGCAATTTTGAATTTACTATTGGCTTGTTTCTAAGTACTCTATTGCATTCATTGTTTTGTTTTCATTGTTTCTATCCTATTCTGTTCTGTTTCATTTTTACTATGTCCAAAGCTATCTGCAACTATTTTGAAGACATCAAAATGCATTATGGGGGCCAGGATTTTAGCTGAGCAGTACAAGCACCTGCAAGGGCAAGGTCATGAATTCAACCCCTGGTGCAAAAAAAAAGTGTGGGGGGGAATTATGGTAACTATTGTTGATTTTGTAATGTTTTTAAGTTCTGTATCTCTTACACTGATTTGTTTTGATTGGTTTTATTGTTATCCTCTTTAAAATAAAATTTAAAAAAAGAAAAGAAAAAACAAATTTAAAGAACCCATGCTTTAGCTACTCCTTTCCAAACACTTGGAACCATAACCTGTTGTCTTATGAGCTATATTAAACCCAAGATTAAAGGGGCCTGGGGCCATGGGTAGTGGTCATGTTTTAAAGTTCCTTTAAGGTTTTAAAGAGTACAGCTTCATGAAGATATGTAACTTATCCCAGATTATTGGGGTCTTGAAGTTTAGCAATAGGCTAGACATGTTGAAAACCCTCCAAGGATTCTTTTGCCTCCTGGTTTCTTTTAGTGCCAATTGCAAGAGAGAAAGAAATGATAATTCCATTGTATTAAGAGTAGCAGTCTCAGCCTGTGATGCAGCAAAGTTTTTTTGAATTGAGAAAGCAGAAGTAGCTGCTTGTGGCACAGTTAAGGTTATTAGTTTTCCTTTGGGCCACTGTGAAATGGAAGTTGCAGTGAAATACTCTAGTAGGGAAGGATGTTCTTTGTCTCTCCCCATGGCTCCTTCCTTATCTGTGTTCTTTGTTTTTGGTTTGGTTTGATTTTTTAACTCATGACCACACACTTGCAAGGCAGGTGCTTATGCCGCTGAGCTAAATCCCCAGCCCCTCCTTCCCTATCTGTATGAGCAAAGTTAGAGAGGTCAAGCTTTACTAGGGGAAGTGGGCACCTATTGCTCCATTATCCTTTTTCTGCTTTGGATATAGTTTTCAGATAGTGCTCTGAGCCAAATTCTCTGTGGTCATCTCAAAAGACATAACAATGATCAAGACACTCTCTGATCCATGTCCACAACAAAGAGGTAAATACAGGAATCAACAAACATTTGAATTTTCATCTGTTCTTGAGTCTGTTTGCCCCATGCTTTATGTATGATGAAATCAATATTGATAATATAACAATAGACCTCTCTCCTCTATGCTTCTTGTGAGCTTATTTTGCTTTTTGGTCTCGTGAGCCTGTTTTGTTTGTGCACACACTCTCGGAGGTGTCCTCTCATGTGGTATGATGAGTTTCCCCATACTCAGGTCCCTGTTTCAGGCACCAAGCCTGGTGGTGTTTCGGCACCACATCCAGCACAGCTCTTGAAACTCCAGAGATGGAGTGGTGGAGGATGAAGAAAAACAAGAGTCAAAATGAAGGTCAGGTGGAGCTTCTTCTCCTGGTGGGAGAAAAAGAGCAGCCCAATGACCACAGCATATTTATTTATACCCTTGAGAGATTATTTTCTGTTACAATCCCTTTGCCTAGCAACTTGTTTGCTTGGCTTACCTCAAGCATCTCACATTCCAGAGATGGAACAGTTTGTTCACATGGCTCACCTCAGGCACTCTGTGTTTTGGAGCTGGCTTGGATTTAGCTGCATACATGTGATCCATCTCCAGCTTCAGCCACTCCCCACAATCTTGAATTTAGAAATTTAGCCTGGAACTCAATCACCATGTCTTTATCTATGCAATAGTAAACTGTATGACTTTGTGAACAGACTTGTTGCACTTATTTCAAAAAGAAACCCAAGTGTTACATTTAACAATTGGTTCACTAATTACCCATTAATGTTGCATTTGCTGAAAGAACACCAGTTGACCTTCATAGGAATTATTTACAAAAACAAAATGGAGATTCCTTTTTAAAAAGTTTTCAAGTTCTCATTTCTCAATAGAGAAATGTGTAACAAAATCTTTGGATTTCTTAAAGAAGTAGCATTGCCTTCTTCCCATATTGTGAAGAAAAACAAAGTAGGATGGATACCATTACACCATGATGATAAGATTAATAGTGAAACTAGTCATGGTGGTGCATGCCAGTAATCCCAGACTTGTGGGGGCTGAGGCAGGGGAATCTTGTGAGTTTAAGGTCAGCCTTGGTGCTACACAGTGAATTCAAGGCTAGCCTGAACTATATAGTGAGACCCTCAAAACAAGCAAACATGGTGAAAATGGCTATTCTCCCAAAATTGTTACACATATTTAATTCAATTCCAATAAAAATTCCATTAGTATACCTCATAGATATAGAGAAATCATTCCTAAAATTCATCTGGAGCCAGAAGAGACTTAGAATAGCAAAGGCAATTCTGATTAACAAAGGCAAAGCAGGAAGCATCACAATTCCTGACTTGAAAGCTACTGAGATAAAATCAGCATGATACTGGGATAAAAACAGACTTGAAGATCAATGAAATATATTAGAAGATACAACCACAACTACATACTCAGCCACCTTATCTTCAACAAAGGGGCCAAATATGTTCATTAGAAGAAAGATAGCCTCTTTAATAAGTGGTATTGGAAAAACTGGCTTTCCATATGCCAAAAACTAAAAATAGCCTCATGCCTATCACCATGAACTAAAGTAAAAATGGATCAAAGATCTAAATATTAAAACAGAAACACTAAATCTGTTGAAAGACAAAGTAGGTACAAATCTTGAAGACATAGGTGTCGGCTGAGAATTCATGAACAAAAATTAAACTGCACAGAAAATATTTCCCAGTATCAGTAACAAGGATCTCATCTTATTAAAAAGATTTTTCGTGTCAAAAGAATTCTCCAACAGAGTGAAAAGAAAACCCACGAATTGGGAAAAATATCTTAGTTAACTGTCTCTCAGACAAAGGACTTCTATTTAGAACATATAAAGAATTTTAAAAATCAGGCCCCTGAAATTCAAAGACCAATCCAAAAATGGGCATCTGAGATGAATAGACAATTTTCAGATGAAGAAACACAAATGGCAAATAAATACATGAAAAAATGGTCAGCATCATTGTTCATTAGAGAAATGCAAATTAAACAACACTGATTCCATCTCATCCCAGAAAGAATGGCCAGGATCAAGAAAACCACCAATAACAAATACTGGAGGGACTGTGGGGAAAAAGGAACACTTCTGCACTGTTGGTGGGAGTGTGGACTGGTACAACCACTGGGGAAATCAGTCTGCATGTTCCTCAGAAAGGTGGGATTGGAGGTCCTGTTTGATCCAGCTATCCTGCTTCTGGGCATATTCCCAGAAAAACTGAAAACATCACATCATAGTAATATATGTGCTCCTATGTTTATAGCAGCACAATGTATAATAGACAATTCTTGGAAACAACTCAAATGCCCATCAACCGAGAAATGGATAAAAAAAGATGGGGTATTTTTATACAATGGAATACTACTCAGCTCTAAAGAAGGACCACATTGAGGCTTTTATAGGTAAATGGATGCAACTTGAGATCATTTGCATAAATGAAATAAATCAAACTCAAGTGTGTATATATCATATTGTCTCCCTGGTGGAAGAAACTTAAAGCATAGATAAGATGAAAAATCTTCAATAAACATTGTGAAAGACTAAGAAACTGCTCAAAGAGGGAAAAATAACTCAGATAGGGAAAAGGAGAAAATAAGGAAGAGAAAAGAAAAAATACATAAATTTGTATATATACACTTAAGATAGCTAAGATGATTGTACTACTAACTCTTTAGTTCTTGGAACAAAACAGTTAATATTCATAGGATTGGATCAATTTTGCATGCTTGTATCTGATAATTTGAGCAACTCTTTTGAAGGTAACTATGCAAAATAACAACCTCTGTTATGTTTCTACCACCTTGTTTTGAAAGCCTATATTGTTATTTTCTGGGTTTTCTGTTGTTAGTTATATGTCTCTTTTGTTTCTTGTTTTTCTCGTATTTTTTGTTTGTTTTGTTTTGATTTTTCCTCTAATACAGAAAGGATAATTGTACATGTATGGGATTATACATGCCTAGAATTTCTCCTAAAGAGTTTATAAAAATTGATTTTATTATGTGTGATGATATGAAAAGCTATGTTGTAGTCAGGGGTTGTGAGGAGAACAATTAGAATCAGGACATAGAATTTATAATATTATTTTATGATGGTCACCCAGAGTAAAATGCAAGAAAGTGCAGGAAATCTGTCCACAGCACTAAAGACCCAAAATAGTCAGCCAAGAGCCTGGATCCCATAGCAATGTCCTGCATGAGTCCAGAGAAGACCTAGAGCCCATGACAATGCCTCCCACGACAAAACTGGAGGTCTAGAGCCACAAGAAAGACTCTTTTATGGATCTGTGCTGGGAAGGCTTAAAGATCTGTGGTGGAAGCTAGAAAGTCTCTGCCAGTAGGGTGAAGGAGCTGTACTGGTAGGTTGAGGGTTCTACACTGGAGCCAAGAAGTCATGCTCATAATAAAGACCAGCCATCCTCAGTGACACAGAGGTCCCGAGCTCCTCTGAAGATAAGAACATTTGAGTGTATGCCAGAAAGCCAGCATGACAAGTTTCTCCTGCAGATTAAACAGCACATGTCTTCCCCTCCAGAGCCAGGAAGCAATGCTTTATGTAAGGACCAGAGCGTCACCAAAGTGAACCACGACCACTCTCACCAACAAGGTCCCGAGCTCCTTTGATGACAATGGTAGAACTCACACTGGGGAAGCCAGTCATGATGAGCTCCACAAGCAGAGCCAATGGCTCAAACAGTGACACTTAAAGATACTCACACTGCCTCATTCATCTTCACTTCTCTATTCATGCTGGCAACTTTCCTCAGGTGGAACATCTGTGCTCAGCACCATGCTGATTTAATCCAGCTGGTATTAAGTTGACCATTGGTTTTTAATCCATAACAAGCTATTTTGAAGAAAATGAGACATCATGGTAGCCATTGCTGATTTCGTATCATCTTTTTTTGAAGTCCTATAATGATTTTATTCTTTGCTTTGATAGGTTCTGTCTGTTTTCTATTATTTGATTTCAATATGTGTGAGGGTATGGATAGCTGTTTTGAAGAGAACAAGCGGCAGTATGGTAGCTATTGTTGATTTCCTATTGTCTGGTTTCGAAGGCCCATAATGCTTTCATCATTTGGTTTTGATTGGTTTTATACTATTTTGTTTTGTTCAGATTTATTGTGTGTGAAGATATGGACAACTATTTCAAAGAAACAAGAGACATTATGGTAGCCACTACTGATTTCCTACTGTCTTACTTTTAACTCCTGTGTTGTTTATATTGTTCTGTACTGAACTGCTTTGTTTTCTTCTCTTCTGTTCTGTTTTATTCTCTTTAAAAAGTTTTTAAAAGCCAGACAAACAGCAATTAAACATTGATAGTGAGTCCTAAATACAAATGGAACTAGAAACGGTCACATTTTACAAGCAAGTGAAAGAGGGAGTAGATGTTAATGAGTGTACAGCAACAATGATGTCATAGAAGCACAAAACGTTGGCCAGTGTGTGTATTTTACCCAATCCTAAACGTGTCAGGCATAAATAGTGTCATGGTTTACATCAAAAATAACAAGCACAAAATATTATAGAGAAATTTTCCTAGAAGATTGGAACTGGAATTGATAAATGATCAATTACAAAAGAGGAAGAACAATGTATAACAGCCCAAAGAACTTCTCAAAAGAATTCTGGAGCAGTCCAGTGAACAGACAGGTGAAACATCACAAGAACTTCCTAAGAAAACAAAAGGTCCAATATGTCTTACCAAGAAGACAGAAAAACAAAACACATGTGCTATCAGTATAAGCAATACTTGGAACAAGCTGTTATCATGTGTGAAAATTGCCATAGGTGTGATAATTGAAGTAAAGATTATTTTGTGGTAGAGTTTTATTGTTATTTTCATTTTATTTCACATAAGAATTTATTTCTTCTGTGATTTTTCTAGATCTAGTAAGCAAACAGTTGATGTAGAAAATGTTGATGCTTATTCTAAACACCCATTAGGTACTAGATGTTTTATTTTATTGTGATTTCATTTTCCTGATAAGTGCACTTTGTACTATATAATAGAAAATCCTGACAAAGGAGCAAGACAAGAGAGGTGACAACTATGGGCTGCCTAACAGGGAAGGAAAGCTAAGTACATGTGCTATCAGTGCAAACGAGACTT